AAGCACAGGTTACATAAAAAGTAACAAGTGAATCATGAAAATATAGATAATAAGCTTTCATTTGATACCAGTTTCACTATGTCTCCAGGGGGGTGCTACGAAAACTGATTTTTAGGGACTTTTCAGGATTCAGCTTATGGACTAAAAGATCTAAATTTAGATATTTGGGTCGGACCCAGTTTAGATCAAGCGAAGACGGTGCTAAATTCCAATTACAATCCAATGGAAAAAAAGCATTCTGTGAAATACAATATTAATTCACTTTTTTTTTATTTTTAATTTTTTAAACTCTTTTTTAAAAGCGAAGGTTTGAGCAACATACTAAATAGATACGACAGAATATTCTTCGGTTAATTCGGAGTTTTAGAGGTTATTCACAGACACTGGTCCAAATAATCGACTCAAAAACTAACAGTTTATTACATCTGACTAAAGTTTGCCAAAGAAAACATCAGCTCGTTTGTAAACAGCCCGACCTTCTGTAATGATGCATGTATGAATAAATGCTACATTAATTCTCACGGAAGACGAGCGTTCAACTTAGAAAAGAGTTTTGTTAAAGTGCCTACAACACCTAACTCAATATTTTCAATATTGTTTCTACCTATAGTAAAAAATTTGGACGGTAAAATATTTTCATATGATTTGAGTGATCTTGAAGATATCAAGGTCTATTCTTCCAATATGCTAATGAGTGGGATGTCATTATGAAGATTTGAGTTTATTCGTCATCATTTGTAAATTGAAACACTGATTATTATGAGAAATCAAATTTGACAATGATTTTTTATACAGGGTGTTTTACTGCCCCAGAAAAGTTTTGTATAGTTAATGCTTTACTTTCTGTGACTATATAATATAATATAAGTTTACTTTTAGTTTTTTTCCTAATGCTTAGTAGTGATGGTATGTAGTGGTATTGCAATAATCAGAATACTCCTGCTTCGAGTTAGCTATGCTTAGCCTTACTCTCGGTTGTGAGTTAAATATTCAGCTATTCAACAAAAACCCGTGGCATTTTAATCAACTCGTATTGTTCCGAAGTGCTTACATTCCTTACAATACAATGAACCTAATTCTAATCTAATAAAAAATAAAAAAAACGCATTTGTACACAGTCGAGGCCGAAGTATTCATCGATGGGATTTTTTTTTCTAACCATGAAAACACTCTTCCGACAAACATCCTACTGCATCTGTCACCCAAATACGAATGCGTTTATATTCTGGCACTTTTTACAGCCCCAGATCGTAATTGTATTTGTATTAGTATTAATCATAGTAGTTGTTTGGGTATTAGTATCGATAGCCGGAGCATTTCATCTCGGCACTCTTTGAGCTCCTTTCTCGGGCATTTATTTCGATAGTTTTGATGTCTGGATACGCTAAATACTAACCTTCTGTAATTGGAAAATCAAATGACTACTATTCATACAGATATACGTCTTTGTCCTTGCAACTACTGTGACTTTGTTTTATTTATTTATTTATTTTTGATTCATTTCTTATCTTTTCTTATCCTACGATCTTAATCTTTCATTTCTGTGTATTGCCATATCGTGTCTTCTCTTTTCTTTGCCTTTCTTTTTCTTTGTCTTCTTTTTTTTTTTTTTTTTTAATTCTTTTTTTACCTTTTTTATTTCTTCTTTTTTATAGCATTTTTAGCATACGTCCGATATACCAAAGATCGCTGTGAAATTATTTATTAGTTTCAAGGGATTTGTTTACGAAATATATTATTGTCCCTAGATCAAGGATTCATAGCTAGCTCTGAGCTGGGGCATACATTACATTGCTCTGGTAATTTCATTTTTAAAAATTTTCAGTATGGCTCTACCATAATGCAGTATTTATTAATTCAAGAAACAATTCTATAAGATAAAATGTAACGTCTCTAAAAACCTTTTAAAGAGTTTGAAGAAAAACTTTTCCTCGCACAAAATTTAAAATATGCACTGAGCGCACGCTTTGGCGAAATTTATGATTGTTCGATATTCGATAATTTGTATTTGAACACAATTTTTAACCTTCCTAAATGACCGTTTGTTATTTAAAGTGTATTCAAGTAGAAAACTTTCTTCCACCTTAATTCCTAATAAGAGTTATTTAAACTGTGTTTGAGTAGAACACTCTTTCCAGCTTTTTAACAGTCCTTAATGAACGCTATTTAAGATGTGTCAATAGGATATACTCTTTTCAAGCCTCCTGATGAACGTTATTCTAAATGTTCCTTCTCGGTATTTAGCATTGCCAACCAAGCCTGTGGTACGTGTTACAAAATCTAACTTTGAACAGTTCATTGGTAGCCCGAAAATTGATGGTATGCAGATTTATAAGCGCTGTACTGGTTACAAGAATTCCAGCTATGATCACTAACTAAATCTTTCAATAGCACACACATTTTATGATATCGCCAGACAAAGCAAAATCAAGTGATTGATTTTAACTAATTACATGCTAGAATTTGGGACGGTGAACGAAGATTGAATATTAAAAGCTAATACACATCTTGTTTTTATGAGGTTATACTTAGATAAAGCACGTTGGTTTGTTTCCAATCTGGCCCTCAATTCCTGATCAAATTGGGATTTCGAAGTTGTCTTGGAGGGAGGAAAACCGGAGAACCCGGAGAAAAACCCTCAAAGCACTCACATATGAAAGCAAGGTAACCCAGCAAGAACCGAACCCTGGTTGCATTCATGGCTCCGACACCTGTTTCTACTGTTTACTGTCCCTTTGAAAATAGAATAAAACTGGCTCGTAATTCTTGTAGTACTCTTTAAAACACATGCTATTCAGTTTTTTGTGGGACACGATCTTAATTCCACTGGGAAAACTGCTGCAAATGGTGATTTTTTCGCTGTCTGAGGGGGAACCATTAATTTTCTATTTTCTACCTTCCAGAGGCATAAGCTCGTTCGTGGACAAAATATCAAATGAGATTCCTAGTTTTATTGGCAGGCTTGGTTGCATTAGCAGCAATGATGCCGCTCTGTATTGCAGGTGCTCCACATCTTTGGGGCGAATGGACATCGTGTTCGAGAACTTGTGGTGCCGGAGCGCGAGTGAGAACCAGTCAATGCAATCATCCCCACAACAAATGTCCAACGGAAACCGAAGCTTGTAATGACCAAGCCTGTGATGTCAACGAAACATCAGGTAATTCCTTTGCTTAATCGAACTTTTATTAGTCATTCCTAGGTTCAGGGAAAACTGGGTAGAGTTGGAAATGCAATGTTTTATGTGGCTGTTTCATGGGTCTTATTTTCAAGATGGCGTCTATTTCATCGCCTAAAACAGAATACATTGAAATACGAACTCGACCCATTTTTTCCTCGACCTCCGAAATGGCTAATAGCTAACTAATTTCATGAATATTGGACTGCGTTTGGTTATTGTTATGGATACCATCATATTGACCTTTTCAGGGTTACGTGGAAAACTGAAAAACTTACCAAAAAACCAAAGAAATGTGACTCAAAGCAAAAACTGAAACCTGGTAAATAAGAAAGACAGTGGTGTCCGCTGGAAACCCCATGATTCAACGCGAGTCTTAGCTAATTACCAGTCTTTCTCCCAACCTTGGAAAGGCCAATAGAGGACATACCATATATTCGTGTAAAATTTAACTAACAAAATTGTACAAATTAGTGGAAATTTTTGTAGGGGGCTGGTCTACTAAGGTTTATTAAACTTATATTATTAATTTGTGTAATTTCTTACAAAGTTTCACTTAATCATGTTTTGTTAAAGAAGAATTTTATATCATGATGGGAGGTCTATATCGGCAGAGTCCCAGATATCGTTTTTCGGGGGGGAGGGGTGGTTGGACATTATACTAGGGCTGTTTGTGCGCAATGTGGTTCATGCTTCAAATTTTTAAAGGTGTCAACGTAACAAGCGCAAGCCCAGGAGCCAACAATACCGTGGGGCCCAGTCCAAGCCAAGGTACATTGTACTTTTTTTTGTTCTTCCAATAGGTTCTATTGACGATAGACCCCATGAAAGTTTTTGCATTGTAATGCAGGTTTATGCTTCAAATTTTTTGTTAAAGGTGTCAACTCAACCAGCGCAACCATGCGCCTTCGTCTCTCCTCGCCTGAGGAACCCCGCCTGTACCTGCCACCGCGCGTGGCGTACCATTCGAATCCTATCTTATTTTTCATAGTTAATAACGAGAACAAAAATTTGGTTTTTTTTTCTTTTCTTAAGTTCCAACATTTCTAATTTTTAACACATTTTTTTAATCAAAGGTTTTAACGTAACAAGCGCAACCCCAATAGCCAATGATACTGGTGGGCCCAGTCCAAGTGAAGGTAAATTTTATATTATTATTTACATTAACAATATAAAATCATCTTGGCATATTTCATCATCAAATAGACATTCCCAATTTTTAACACACTTTTTTAATCAAAGCCTTCAACATAGCTTACTTACATTAACAATATAAAATCATCTTGGCGTCTATCGTGAATTTGGCCTATTACAATATTTCATCATCAAATAGTGATTTCTAATTTTGAACACACTTTTTTAATTAAAAGCTTCAACATGGCTTATTTACATTAACAATATAAAACCATCTTGGCGTCTATCCTGAATATGGCCTATTGCAATATTTCATAAAATAGAGATTTCTAATTCTTAACACACTTTTTTAATTAAAGGCTTCAACGTAACAAGTGCAACCCCAATAGCAAATGATACTGGTGGGCCCAGTCCAAGTGAAGGTACATTTTATGTTATTATCCTTCAGAGTAGTTTTCTCCACAGCTAGCCGTCACTAGTTTCGGTCCTAGATCTTCACGACACCTCTCCACTAGCGGCTGCTCACTCGAACACTACATTCCTTCCCAATTGTTTAGTTTAGCCAATGAAAAATTAGTTGCGGATCTAATCAATTTACCACCCTCGAGTGATTTTGAATATATTAGTTGTCAAAATCGCGTTACATTATTCAGATTATGGAATGCCGATTAAGTCAATGCTGCTAACATAAAACAATTATCAAATAATAATCGCTGAAAAAGGAGTTCAAATAAATGCTATCCAGTTTAAATATTCACTGAATCATATCGCTAAAATTTATGTTATAACGTATTATTCTAAGGATTCAAATAATAAGAGAGCTAAGGTCGGAGTTTCCAGTATAAAAAGACCATTTCCTTGATTACAGACTCAGGCCCCGTCCACACGCATCCGCACATTTTTGTACCCGCAATTTTTTTTTTTTTTTTCTTTTTTTTGCGGATACGGGTTGCGTCCACACGTGTCCGGAAATTTTTGTATCCGTATTCGGAAATTTTCGAAAACGGTCTCCAGAGTGGAAATTTTCGAATACGCTCCGAATACGGATACGTGTGGACGGTCGTATCCGCAAATTTTTGAATACGCTGACGTAAACACGATTTTGCGCATGCTCAATAAGAAAAACTATCCGTCAAAAGGACTAGGCACTATCATGTATCAGGGCGGATCAAGAAATTTCCGGATACGTGTGGACCGCGAAAACGATTCGAAAACGATTCGAATACGCAGCGTGTGGACGCGAACATTTTCGTATTCGCAAATAAAGTGTTGCAGTCAAGGTCCATCGAGTTTCAAAGTGTTCGTATTGTTGAAGTTGTGCATTCTTTACTTTACCGTTGTTATTTGTGAACATTTAAACACTGAAACGAGGCTAATCCTGTGTAAATGAGTCTTTGATCAAGGAACACAGCGGTAATAGACCTCTTCGGCTCTGACGTAATGTTTTCCCATTTCAGACCACGTGTCATTCCCTAGAGTATCGTTTCTTTGTTTAAGGTTTGCGCTCGGTTGCACATGAGAAGACATACGAATATGGACACAGCTCAAACTAAGAATCTTATTGTCAAGGGAATTACACGTGGTCTGAATTGGGAAACATTACCCCAAGCCGAAGAGGTCTATTGGGAACTTGAAACTGGTCTATTGGTCATTAAATAGTCGAGCCGGATACATTCCTTTCCACAGGGTTGACCAATGAGAGTCGGGTTTCCATTCACTGCAATACCAATTCGACCAAGTCTTTTCCTCGATCTCGGAACGGCTAATAAGTAAATTCTACTAAGATTAAAATGTTTCTTGGTTTGTATTTCCAGGGCCGGGTTGTTCAAAGCTGGATTAGCGCTAATCCAGGATTAACTCTATAGGTCTTATTAAGAGTTAACCCATGATTAGCACTAATCGGGCTTTGAACAACTGGGCCCACGTCTGAAATCCACAACCTATAGTCCAACTTTCGTTACAGCAACTGCCGGCGATATAACAGAAGGAAAAGAAGCTGTATCTACAAAGACAGTAGAAGACGTTGAAACAGACGAGTTTGTTGGATCCGGAACAATGGCCAGGATATGGACAGACGAGTTAGGAAACCCCACATCACAAGAACATAAAGAATTGAAGAATGATTGTGAGACAAAACTTAAGGAAACCTATAAAAACGAAGACAGTGTGATCGCCACTGAGGTGACAAAATTTACTTCAGGCAGTGTGGTGATGCACTTTCGGTGAGCACAATACCCCAATCTGATTTTCTCCTCCTTTTTAAGCATTCCAATTTTATTCCACTGCACTTCACTGCAATCCACTGCACTGCACTGCAATCCACTGCACTGCAATCCACTGCACTGCAATCCACTGCACTGCACTCCACTGCAATCCACTCCACTGCAATCCACTCCACTGCAATCCACAGCAATCCACTCCACTGCAATCCACTCCACTGCAATCAACCCCACCGCAATCCACTTCATTGCAATCCACTCCATTGCAATCCACTTCACTTCACTGCAATCCACTCCACCACAATCCACTCCACTCCACTCCACTCCAAAAAAGATAGAAAAAGATGTATGTAAACCATTTATTATGTTATCTATTGTGATAGTGTCAAAACGCTTCGCAGCAGAAGAGCTAGCAGCAGCAGACTGCAGAGTGTTTTCGCGTTGTCTGTTCAGTCAGGAGCATTGAAAGGCCTAGGGATAACTTCCTTTAAGCTCACCATGATGACAAAGGTCGATGAAGGTACGTTAGTGAAGTAAAAGGATTAGATGACAAACTTGTTACAGTATGTTTTATTGGGCTTTTCGTTTCTTTTAGATTTGTATGCACTCAATAGTACAGATTATACAATATACAATTACAACAATATACTGTTTCAATTGGAGGCATTTGGGTCAGTACAATAGAATAATGTATAGAAGCTGACCCAAATGGACGGACGGTTTGAACGCAATAGAGTGTAGCTATTTTTATCTAGAGTGCATGCAGTAAAACCATGAAATAAAACAAAGTTGATACTGACAAACAGCACTATTCTTTTTCACGTTCTTTTAAAAAATTATAGAAAATATTTGATTTTTTTTTTTTTTAAATTGAAAGTTTTTGTAGTGGCGAACAACTCATTGTACCTCGAGTTTCCAAAACATATCGAATTAACGTACTTCCCATGGATCATTTCGGTCCAAGCTTCGATGTTCTATGTTCTGAACCCGACAATGATTATGTAGCTGAGTGTATTTCCTCTTTTCTTTGTCAGCATGGTCGAGTGGTCATAGAGTCGGTCTCGCAATCCGGTGGTGCTGTGTTTGAGTCCGGCTGTGGTCACTAGCTGAGACTGTATTTGTCCTGGTCACTGATTAGTTCAAATTTAGTTTGTCGACCATGCTTGTTAATAGCCAACTGGTTTGCCTACTTGCCAGATGGGATTCTTAAAACACTTAATATTTCTTTGATTGCTTCTTCATTTCTTCTGCTTACTAATTTGTGGACTACACTGAAAATTAGCGGTCAGCCAAGTGTACTTTCCACGTTAAATGAGGTTATTATTATTTATTATTATTATTATTATTATTATTATTATTAT